GGGGGGGCCTTCATCATGTGCACCCACTTCAGCATGGGCACCAGCGGCAAGCGCTCGTCCAGCACATACACAGAGAACTGGGATGGGAGGGACAGCTCAGCTGGCCTCACCCCAACACGCTGTGGAAGCCCCCTACAGCTGGGTGATCCCCCTGCCCCACAGGTGCTGGGAGCTGGGGCTGTGCTGGGGTGTCCCCCTCAGCCCCCAGCTGTCCCCCTCCCCAGGTGTGGTGAGACTCACCTGGGTGGTGATGAGGTGCTGGGAGGGGTGAGCCCTGCCCAGGTACATGGGCAGCACCACACGCTCGCCCTGCTGGCAGCCAGCTTCCTCACCCACCTTGAACAAGTCGAAGTGGCATCTCTCGGGTGCCTGTGGCAGCACAGTGGGGTTCTTTCAGCACCTCTGGCTGGGGAACCCTCTCCACTGCCTGCCCCCAGCCCTGTGCTCACCCTCCAGGGCTCACCCGGGCATCCAGGCACTGCAGGCCCGTGCGGTCGGCGCAGCTCAGCACCCGCGGGTGGGCAGTGAAGTCGCTCCAGCGCCAAGGCGAATGGTCCCGAAAAAACATGGTCTGGGGGTCGTGGCGGAGCCGCTGCAGCCTGCAGGCAGAAGGCAGCGCTGGTACAGGGCAGAGCTGCACCCCTTCCTTGGGCTCCCTCTGCCCCCCTGAGTCCTGGGGGTCTGTGTGAGCCCACTGCCAGCCCCAAGTGCCCCATCTCACCCCATCTCGATGCTCCAGAGGTAGACAGATCCAGTCTGGGTGCAGACAGCCAGCTCCCCGGGGAGGTGAGGGCTGTGGGATGGAGGGTATGGCATCACCACGGGGACAGGAGCACCCACCACAGTGGGGAGGGCTGCAGAAGCAGCAGAGTCCCCTCCCTGCAAAGCTCTGTTCCCCCAGCACCTACCTGACGGTGAGGCAGGAGGCAGGTGTGCTGGTGTGGATCACCTGCAGCGGGGTGGGGGCTGCCCCCACCCTGCCCGGCACCCTCCAAACACCACAGTGATAGTCTGAGCGGACACCAACGAAATCTGTCAGGGGAGAGGAGGTGGCACGTGAGACGGCAGCATCCCAGGGGTTCCCTGTTGCCCTCCCAAGCCCAGGGTATGGATCTTGGGGCTCACCTTCCCCACCCCCCCTAGCGGCAGCCACTTGCCGGATGCGCCCGTTGAGCTCAAACTGCGCCGGGGAGCCGTGGGCGCAGGGCAGCTCCTCCAGCACCACGTCCTGGAAATCTGGGGTGTCAGCTAAGGGCAGTGCAACACAACCCCCAGACCCTCCTCACAGACACCTCACTGGGAAGGATACAGAGGTGGTTCATGGCTT